ACTTTACAGAAAAAACCAAAGAATAATCACCCCGCCGTGCTACGTCTCTTCGGTCTTCGCGCTCGGCATCGTGGGTCAGGCAGCGTGTTAGCTGACTGACCCATCTATGTAGTTGATTCTTAATCGGAGTGAGTGTACTGGCAGTCTTGAATCTAGACTGTAGCCTGGTTACTAAGTTTGGTGAGTGTACTTCCTCACCAATACATACTTCACCTGGAATGCAACATTCTACAAACTGAAGGCACCCCAATGGGTTCTCCCTTTTCTCCGGTTGTCGCCAATATTTTCATGGAAAAAATTGAGACGGACGCCATCCAGGCATCCACGTGGATGACACGTTTGTCATCTGACCACATGGCCGACCAGCTATAAACCAATTCCTCAACCACATCAATTCCATACACCCAGCCGTCAAATTCACCATGGAGGTAGAAAAGGATGGCATGCTACTTTTCTCTGATGTCCTAATCTAAAAGAGACCAGATGGCTCAATGAGCCATTTTGTCGACAGGAAAGTAACCCATACTGACGCCTACACTGATTCCCACCACCATCCATACCGGAAGAATTCCCTCATCAAAACGAAACACCATAGAGCTCAATGTATCTCCGACCATGAACACCTAACCAGTGAACTCAAACACATACACCAAGCTCTCAAGGCGAATGGATATTCGAATGAATATTCACCTTGAGAAGCCATCACCCCAACCATGAGGAAGGAGCCATCTGAGGATCCAATCAAAACCATCACCTTGCCATACATAGCAGGGGTAACCAAAAATATTTCAAAAATCATGATCCAGTTCCAATTTAACACAGTACATTAAATTCGTGATCTGATCCCATCTCTGAAGGACAAGATTCCTGACATGCAATAGCCCGGCATCTACAAACTAAGCTGTATCTGCGGCAGCAGTTACATTGGAGAAACTAAGCGGCATGTCTCAGACCGTGTTCGTGAGCATACGGCAGATATGAAACACGGCAGGACCAATACTACTGCCGTGGCTGATTATTATTTTAATGCGGCTGGCTCACACGAAATTGATTTCTCAAAGATGATGGAACTTTGCAAGCCTACTGACTATCAACAAAGATTCGTTCATGAAGCCATCCATATGTACAGACAGATACAATTTCAACCGAGAGGATGGTTATGAACTCAGCAATCATTGGAAAGTTGTGTATTTTCTTGTCAACCTCCACCGTCAGCAGTGTGGGTATGTGCAGCAAGGGGCACTGATTTCCTGGCAGCCCTTTTTATTGGTGTAGACCCACTGCGTTGGTGTTGCTTTCTCCTACATCAACATTAGCTGCCCCGCCCATGCTGCTGACACACTTGGGCTACGCCCATCTCTAAACCTTTATAAACAGTTTGCCTTTAGAGGCTAACCCCCCTTTTCCTGATGACAACTGCTTGTGTTGCGATCGAAACGTCGTGGTTTTTGTTGTTATTTTTCCAGGCTACAGTGTACATGACCGCTCCAGCAAAATTACTGTAGCTACAGTAATTTTTCTTCTTGGTTCTTTCGGTAAAGTCACGTAGAAGGGAAATAATAAAATACTAAAAATTAAACATAATAAAACATTATTATTTTATTATTTCCCTTCTACGTGACTTTACCGAAAGAACCAAGGAGATGAATCCCTGCAGTCACGAAAGCTTGAAATCGAAATACAGTAATTTTGCTGGAGCAGTCATGCAGTGTACATTATAGACTGCCAGTATGCTCACCGAGGTAAAGAACCAGGCTACAGTCTACATTATAGACTGCCAGTACACTCATTCAGCTTAATAACCAGGCTACAGTGTACATTATAGACTGCCAGTACACTCACTGATTAAGAACCAGGCTACAGTCTACATTAGTGTTTTTTAGGTTTTAATTATTTTTAGTTTATTATTATTTTTATATTTATAACCTTTATTATTTATTATTATTTTTATATCTACGTCACTTTACTGAAAGAACCAAATAATATCAGTGTGGGATATCAAACTAAATCTCATTTGATTGGGTTGGATAGACAGCTCACGAATGGGAGGGGATATTTAGTCGTGATAATAATACGAAGAAAATCATGCAATGCCAATTGTTTACCCCGCAGAGGCTCACCAAGCGTCGAGACTCGTTTTCAAGAGAGTGCTGCATTGCAATGTTTGGCCAATACCAATGACGTGTGTTTGGTTTCACACGGGAGGAAACTAGGGCTACCTGGGGGGTGTGATAACACACGGAGTTTCGCACCGATAGACGCAATCCAAAGACAGACCCATTTCATTGAGTGAACTGCAAACCTTTAACTTTTTTGGGAGGGTAGCAATACGACCATCACGACAGTTCAAAGGTTATCTCTGGTTAAGAAGGGTAATAGAGTGGCGCTCTTTGACATTGACAGCCTTAAGCCAGATTTATTCATAAGACGACGACAACGACACACACCCTGTTTCTCATCTGCATGGAAACATTTGATAGCTATTACCGGTATGCATATCATAGACCATGCTGACATCACATACACATCAATCTCGGAAACCAATTTGGATTTGCTGGAATTCTCTCTTTCATTCTCATTTATCATACAAACTACACCACTCATCACTGTGATCTTTACTGAAAGACCGTTTTTTCTACCCTTATTTAAACTCGGAGCGAGATTCATTGGGCCAAGTTCATCTTTAAAGCATGCACACATAACTCAGGCCCTCATACCTATGCACAGTGTTTATTCGGGACCATAATCCTCAAAATCTTAGATGCCACAGAGCACTAGAGTGCACTGTACCGAGGACAACAAAACGCTCATGGTTCTCACTCATCTTCTGTGATGCCCCAAAATACCTGGAATTAGATCGCTTCAAAAGTATCCTTGGTTACTCTGCAATATAAATCACAATGTGGTGCTCGCCTGAAAGCTATTTATGGAAGCTGCACTTGCAAATTGCATTTGGCGTAATATATCCGTTTCTGTTTACATGTTAGTACAATGGTCACCCTATATCTGTATTGTGTTTCCGTAATTTAATTTGTATTTGTCCTCTGATCAGTCAAAAACATACACGGCCCAAGTCACCGTATGCTATAGGGAATTTATATTGGTATGAACCACCTGTATCCACCAGCCCACAGGGGATTATTGTGTCCGTCCGTCGTGCATCAAAAAACTGGGAGGGGTGTGACTGGATGGAGGGGGGAGGGTGGGGAGGGTGGGGCTGGGTGGGGGGTGGGAGGGGTGGGGCTGTGTGGGGAGGGGCTGGTCACCCCGTGGTGCCCTTATAAAACTCAACGTTTAACCTACTCACGCCGGCTTGTGCCCGCCCTCACAGTCGGCCATATTTGCGGAATACACCACGCCGTCGTTGACCCTGGCCATTGACCGAGCAACCCAACGTTCCTACTAGCTCCCTCCGCAGGAATGTGTTTATTTAGCATTGATTTATGTTCGTACAATATTTTCCACCTCTCACAAGACAATTTTTTTTATTGTACTTTTTTTTACTTGCTGTGCTTTGTTTAATTTGTTTTTGATTTTTGACGTTTTCATGACCGAGATCACTCTTGCAAGTAAGACTCCGTCCCGGTGTCTCACCGGAAATCAAATCAAATAAAAACCCATAAAAGACAAACAACCACGTATCCTTACGATGTAAAGCAGCAAGGCAACCGTGCTGTCTGCGCTGTAGTTTCTCACAGTTCATGATTATGATTGGCTGGACAACCACTGAGAACATTTTTTTTTCGATTTAAAGCTTTCGTGACTGCAGGGATTCATCTTCTTGGTTCTTTCGGTGAAGTCACGTAGAAGGGAAGTAATAAAATGATAAAAATAAAACATAATAAAATCAAATAATTAGCACGACGTTTCGGCTACAACCGAAAGAACCAAGAAGATGAACCACTGAGAAGCGAAGCGCACGAGATAATAACACCCAAGCACCCGCTCGTGCTTCAGGACAGTCCAATTTCAGGACGTGCCTTCCACAAGATGCACATGCTGTTCTGTGTGAGCAGCATCCTCTCATGCAAATGAGATTGTTTGTTTATTTGTTCCGGTTTAAGATGCATGCCGTGCAAAGATTGCCCGATGCCGATAGGCAATAACCCACCTGAGCGCTGGATTATATGTCATCACAAGGGCAACAAACGACGCGTTCTGCATCAAACTACCCTTGTCAATTCGCACACGCGCTACTCGAAAATACAAAACTGTTGAATATAGCAACGGCGGCAGGAAAATTCACCTTTTTGCGAGGCTTCCCGAAACCTTTGTTCTCGTTTCTTCTCGCAGTCCAGAGTTCATCGCTTGCTAGAGTCAACAGATACATGCGTGCGCTGCGCCTGTGGTGTATTTCGTGACATTACGTTTCATTGGCGGAGACGGGCAAGGGATGATGGCCGACCCGATGATACTGAAGAAGAGATGGAGCAGGAAATGAGGATCGTGGCATCACAACAAATTGTGGAGGGATGGTGTAAGGTGGCTTTCAGCCAGCAGCGGACATGTGGCTCAACATCAGCTACTTAGTTTTACGCACATTTTTTTCCCATCAAAAAGTTACAGTCACACTACCCCAGGTTGAATGAAGTATGGCCAAGATTACTGCAAGCAGTGAACGTCATCCCCTGAGCCACTTTGCGTTATTTTAATTAAAATCCTCAATGCTCGCACAATCTGGAAATGAAAAAAGTGCCTACTTTCTGCCAGATTGGGTGACCTCACAGAACCCCCGATTTAATTTCGAGTGTTATCTTTAAAGTGTATTAATTAGCAATCATGCACATGCCTGTACGGCTTCTCCCCAATGACATAACACGCTCTGCCATCCTAATTAGGCGGGTCATATTTTGTTAAATACATATATGTGTATATGTACACGGGCAGCCCGCAAGTCCGTTGGAGGTGACCGTTCATCCTTCCATCTGTCCCTTCCAACTATCTAACCAGCCCCACCAGCCCCGCCAGCCCCACCAGCCCCGCCAGCCCCGCCAGCCCCGCCAGCCCCGCCAGCCCCGCCAGCCCCGCCAGCCCCGCCAGCCCCGCCAGCCCCGCCAGCCCCGCCAGCCCCGCCAGCCCCGCCAGCCCCGCCAGCCCCGCCAGCCCCGCCAGCCCCGCCAGCCCCGCCAGCCCCGCCAGCCCCGCCAGCCCCGCCAGCCCCGCCAGCCCCGCCAGCCCCGCCAGCCCCGCCAGCCCCGCCAGCCCCGCCAGCCCGCCAGCCCGCCAGCCCCGCCAGCCCCGCCAGCCCCGCCAGCCCCGCCAGCCCCGCCAGCCCCGCCAGCCCCGCCAGCCCCGCCAGCCCCGCCAGCCCCGCCAGCCCCGCCAGCCCGCCAGCCCCGCCAGCCCCGCCAGCCCCGCCAGCCCCGCCAGCCCCGCCAGCCCCGCCAGCCCCGCCAGCCCCGCCAGCCCCGCCAGCCCCGCCAGCCCCGCCAGCCCGCGCCCGCCAGCCCGCCAGCCCGCCAGCCCGCCAGCCCCGCCAGCCCCGCCAGCCCCGCCAGCGCCGCCAGCCCCGCCAGCGCCCGCCAGCCCGCCAGCCCCCGCCAGCCCCGCCAGCCCCGCCAGCCCCGCCAGCCCCGCCAGCCCCGCCAGCCCAACCAGCGCCGCCAGCCCCACCAGCCCCGCCAGCCCCACCAGCCCCGCCAGCCCCGCCAGCCCCACCAGCCCCGCCAGCCCCGCCAGCCCCGCCAGCCCCACCAGCCCCGCCAGCCCCGCCAGCCCCGCCAGCCCTGCCAGCCCCGCCAGCCCCGCCAGCCCCACCAGCCCAACCAGCGCTGCCAGCCCCACCAGCCCCGCCAGCCCCACCAGCCCCGCCAGCCCCGCCAGCCCCACCAGCCCCGCCAGCCCCGCCAGCCCCGCCAGCCCCACCAGCCCCGCCAGCCCCACCAGCCCCACCAGCCCCGCCAGCCCCGCCAGCCCCACCAGCCCTGCCAGCCCCACCAGCCCCACCAGCCCCACCAGCCATACCACCCCACCAGCCCCGCCAGCCCCACCAGCCCCACCAGCCCTGCCAGCCCCGCCAGCCCCGCCAGCCCCGCCAGCCCCACCAGCCCTGCCAGCCCCACCAGCCCCACCAGCCCTGCCAGCCCCACCAGCCCCACCAGCCCAGCCATACCACCCCACCAGCCCCGCCAGCCCTGCCAGCCCCGCCAGCCCTGCCAGCCCCAACAGCCCTGCCAGCCCTGCCAGCCCCGCCAGCCCTGCCAGCCCCGCCAGCCCCGCCAGCCCTGCCAGCCCCGCCAGCCCTGCCAGCCCTGCCAGCCCCGCCAGCCCTGCCAGCCCTGCCAGCCCCACCAGCCCCACCAGCCCCACCAGCCCTGCCAGCCCCGCCAGCCCTGCCAGCCCCACCAGCCCCGCCAGCCCCCCCAGCCCCACCAGCCCAACCAGCGCTGCCAGCCCCGCCAGCCCCGCCAGCCCCACCAGGCCCACCAGCCCCGCCAGCCCCGCCAGCCCCGCCAGCCCTGCCAGCCCCACCAGCCCAGCCAGCCCCACCAGCCCAACCAGCGCTGCCAGCCCCACCAGCCCCGCCAGCCCCACCAGCCCCGCCAGCCCCGCCAGCCCCACCAGCCCCACCAGCCCCACAAGCCCCACCAGCCCCACCAGCCCCGCCAGCCCCACCAGCCCCACCAGCCCCACCAGCCCCCCCATACCACCCCACCAGCCCCGCCAGCCCCACCAGCCCCACCAGCCCTGCCAGCCCCGCCAGCCCTGCCAGCCCCGCCAGCCCCACCAGCCCTGCCAGCCCCACCAGCCCCACCAGCCTTGCCAGCCCCACCAGCCCCACCAGCCCAGCCATACCACCCCACCAGCCCCGCCAGCCCCACCAGCCCCACCAGCCCTGCCAGCCCCGCCAGCCCTGCCAGCCCCGCCAGCCCACCCAGCCCCACCAGCCCCACCAGCCCCACCAGCTCTGCCAGCCCCACCAGCCCCACCAGCCCCGCCAGCCCTGCCAGCCCCACCAGCCCCACCAGCCTCACCAGCCCCACCAGCCCCACCAGCCCTGCCCGCCCCACCCGCCCCGCCAGCCCCGCCAGCCCCGCCAGCCCCACCAGCCCCACCAGCCCCACCAGCCCTGCCAGCCCCACCAGCCCCACCAGCCCCACCAGCCCCGCCAGCCCCGCCAGCCCCGCCAGCCCTGCCAGCCCTGCCAGCCCCACCAGCCCCACCAGCCCCGCCAGCCCTGCCAGCCCCACCAGCCCCACCAGCCCCACCATCCCCACCAGCCCTGCCAGCCCCGCCAGCCCAACCAGCCCCGCCAGCCCCTCCCGCCCCTCCAGCCCCACCAGCCCCACCAGCCCCACCAGCCCCACCAGCCCCGCCAGCCCTGCCAGCCCCACCAGCCCCACCAGCCCCGCCAGCCCCACCAGCCCCACCAGCCCCGCCAGCCCCGCCAGCCCCGCCAGCCCTGCCAGCCCCGCCAGCCCTGCCAGCCCCACCAACCCCACCAGCCCCGCCAGCCCCACCAGCCCCACCAGCCCCACCAGCCCTACCAGCCCCACCAGCCCCGCCAGCCCCACCAGCCTTACCAGCCCCACCAGCCCTGCCAGCCCCACCAGCCCCGCCAGCCCCACCAGCCCCGCAAGCCCCACCAGCCCTACCAGCCCCACCAGCCCCACCAGCCCCGCCAGCCCTGCCAGCCCCACCAGCCCTATCAGCCCCACCAGCCCCACCAGCCCCGCCAGCCCTGCCAGCCCCACCAGCCCTACCAGCCCCACCAGCCCCACCAGCCCCGCCAGCCCCACCAGCCCCACCAGCCCCACCAGCCCCGCCAGCCCCACCAGCCCCACCAGCCCCGCCAGCCCCACCAGCCCTACCAGCCCCACCAGCCCTGTCAGCCCCACCAGCCCCGCCAGCCCTGCCAGCCCCACCAGCCCCACCAGCCCCACCAGCCCCGCCAGCCCCACCAGCTCCACCAGCCCTGTCAGCCCCACCAGCCCCACCAGCCCCGCCAGCCCCGCCAGCCCCGCCAGCCCCGCCAGCCCCGCCAGCCCCACCAGCCCTGTCAGCCCCACCAGCCCTGCCAGCCCCGCCAGCCCCGCCAGCCCCGCCAGCCCCGCCAGCCCCACCAGCCCAACCAGCCCTGCCAGCCCCACCAGCCCCGCCAGCCCTGCCAGCCCCACCAGCCCCGCCAGCCCTGCCAGCCCCACCAGCCCCACCAGCCCCACCAGCCCCACCAGCCCCGCCAGCCCCGCCAGCCCCACCAGCCCTGCCAGCCCCACCAGCCCCACCAGCCCCACCAGCCCCACCAGCCCTGCCAGCCCCACCAGCCCCACCAGCCCCGCCAGCCCTGCCAGCCCTGCCAGCCCCACCAGCCCCACCAGCCCCACCAGCCCCGCCAGCCCCACCAGCCCTGCCAGCCCCACCAGCCCTGCCAGCCCCGCCAGCCCCACCAGCCCTGCCAGCCCCACCAGCCCCACCAGCCCTGCCAGCCCCACCAGCCCTGCCAGCCCCACCAGCCCTGCAGCCCCACCAGCCCCGCCAGCCCCGCCAGCCCCACCAGCCCTGCCAGCCCTGCCAGCCCCACCAGCCCCACCAGCCCCACCAGCCCTGCCAGCCCTGCCAGCCCCGCCAGCCCTGCCAGCCCTGCCAGCCCCGCCAGCCCTGCCAGCCCCACCATCCCCACCAGCCCCACCAGCCCTGCCAGCCCCACCAGCCCCACCATCCCTGCCAGCCCCACCAGCCCCACCAGCCCTGCCAGCCCCACCAGCCCCACCAGCCCCACCAGCCCTTCCAGCCCCACCAGCCCTGCCAGCCCCACCAGCCCCACCAGCCCCACCAGCCCTGCCAGCCCCAACAGCCCCACCAGCCCCACCAGCCCCACCAGCCCTGCCAGCCCCACCAGCCCTGCCAGCCCCACCAGCCCCACCAGCCCCGCCAGAGCCACCAGCCCCACCAGCCCTGGCAGCCCCACCAGCCCCACCAGCCCTGCCAGCCCCACCAGCCCCACCAGCCCCGCCAGCCCCACCAGCCCCACCAGCCCTGCCAGCCCCACCAGCCCTGCCAGCCCCGCCAGCCCCACCAGCCCCGCCAGCCCCACCAGCCCCTCCAGCCCCACCAGCCCTGCCAGCCCCGCCAGCCCCGCCCGCCCCGCCAGCCCCGCCAGCCCTGCCAGCCCCACCAGCCCTGCCAGCCCCACCAGCCCAACCAGCCCCACCAGCCCCACCAGCCCTACCAGCCCCGCCAGCCCCGCCAGCCCCACCAGCCCCACCAGCCCCGCCAGCCCCGCCAGCCCCACCAGCCCCACCAGCCTCACCAGCCCTGCCAGCCCCACCAGCCCTGCCAGCCCTGCCAGCCCCACCAGCCTCACCAGCCCTGCCAGCCCTGCCAGCCCCACCAGCCCCACCAGCCCTGCCAGCCCCACCAGCCCTGCCAGCCCTGCCAGCCCTGCCAGCCCCGCCAGCCCCACCAGCCCTGCCAGCCCCGCCAGCCCCACCAGCCCAGCCAGCCCCACCAGCCCCACCAGCCCTGCCAGCCAGCCCTGCCAGCCAGGCAAGCCAGTGAGCCAACACAGCCCAGCCTAGCAGGGTCTGAAGTCGCCTGTGGTTATGCTGGGTCCTCATTTGCAGTAAGTTGGTGGTCCCAGCCCAGTCACCAAGGGCTGCACAAAACATGATTTGAACATTTTGATTTAAAGCTTTCGTGACTGCAGGGATTCATATTCTTGGTTCTTTCGGTAAAGTCACGTAGAAGGGAAATTTTCTTGCAGTGGATTTCACACCTGATGATGATTGCTTGTGCAGCAGTCGAAACGTCGTGAGAATTTTATTGTTTTATATTTTTACTATTTTATTATTTCCCTTCTACGTGACTTTACCGAAAAAAACAAGAATATGATTTGAACATATTTGATTAGTATTTTTTTATTTGGCTAAATTCACGCTCTGATAATGACAAAAATTACTAGTTTGTCATGCAATTTGGATTTTTGGTTTGTCACGTAGCAGGGCGGGTGGGCGCGTTCTCCTCCACCCGAGTGTGGATAAGAAGTCACCGGAAGAGACGTACGAAGCAGTCCTGTGATATTATCCTTCCAGAGCACGTGCTCTCACGCAGGTGAAGCACTGCATCCACTCGCCAGGCGATGGAGAGGGGGGTGCGTGTCTGTGATGCAGTAACTGTGGAGACCGAGGGGGCGGTGGATCGCACAAATGTTGTGAGACGCATAAGAGGTTTTTTTGGGGTAAGATCGCGTAAATATATAAATGTGTCGTTAAACCCGCCACCACCCAACACAGCCAACTAGTAAGGTTTGCCACGTAAACAGAACGTGCCAATTCGTCACTAGTACAGCACACCGGTTGTGTTGGAGAGCCAAGCCACAACATTTACAATCTGAGTACGACGTTTCGCCAGTGATTACAACTAGCTTCATCAGGCGACAGCCAGATTTGTGCAGAAGTCCAGCTGTTAGAGGCGTAGGTGTGATGACAACACTTTGTGCTCTCTTCTCGTACGATGGGGGGGGGGGGGGGGGTGGGGGGGAACTCCCTCCCGGGGGCTTGCCGGGAGATGGCGAGACAGCGAATATGGACACCGCCTGTTCCATCTGCATTGGGGCACAGTGTGTGTCTCCCCCTCACCCCCTTGTACGCGTGTGTTTTCTCTGGGTGCTTTGGTTTTCTCCCACACGTAAACACTCATTGATTGAATTTCGATTTAAAGCTTTCGTGACTGCAGGGATTCATCTTCTTGGTTCTTTCGGTAAAGTCACGTAGAAGGGAAGTAATAAAATAATTAAAATAAAACATAATAAAATAAAATAATATAATGAATACTGTGTGGTTTATTACTTCCTTATTACTTCCCTTCTACGTGACTTTACCGAAAGAACCAAGAAGATGAAGCTCATTGATTGGCCGAAGACACCTTAATATATAAAGGACCGCAAAGCTCGGGTGAAGGGAATTTGCATCGGCTCCCCGCCGGTCTGCCTTCCCTCCTCAAGCCTCTGCGTTCTTATTTCGCTTCGAGGGGGAGTGAATAACTGTGTGGTTTGTTACAAGTTGCAATTATGCTATTGTTCTTATTTGAATGGATTTTTGTTTATCTCATATGACATGGCTGCAATTGCATCTTTGGCTATAAAATTGCGTAATAGGACAATTAAAATAAAATGTAATAATTTCACCGTCATGGCCTATGCAGTTATGTATTGCATACAGCACATTAAATGTTAAATATTTTTAACATGGGCTGCAATGTATCCTGTATGTGTTAGTAACACGCTGCATGAGTTTCGTGCGGGATTATAAATCTGACGCATTATTATAATACAAAAAAAGTTCCAAACCAATGTTTAAATTAACTGGCAGAATAACTGCCCAACGAAAGCACTTGGCACCCTGCGTAATTCCGAACAAACAAGAGAGCTGTATTTAGCATTGTAGCTTCATTAGTAACAGGGGTATTGGATCGAAACCAAAACCACACGGAAGAAGCCCATGAGTCGGCGATTTAACCCAACAAAGAAATCCACCCACCCACCCACCACTCTTCAACTGTGCGTTACCGCCGCCCCATCTACGCGGCGCGTGCTTCCGAAAGCCAGGAGACCGAGCGGTTTGTCAGGAGGCTTTTGCCAAATGCCCAGCGCCAGGTGCGGATGACAAAGAGTTAATGCGAACGCGCGCGCGCACCGAGCAACTCCTCAATTACATCTATTGGTAACACCTGGCGTGGGGAATTTGGAAGAAAAAAAAACGTCCCATGATAGATCACGTCTGCCTGCACAAATTGAAGTCACGATCTGCTACCGATAATAATTTACCATCGAGTAGGCTCGCAAAAATAAATACAACTTCCTGCCGTCGTTCAGAAGAGCAGGGCCGTAATGCGTCTCTGTCTTAATAATTTTCTCAAATTTGATAATTATCAGAGAGAAGGGCGGATGGGTGAGCGCTGAGCTGCTACCGGTGTTAGATCTGGCGTTGGAAACCCGGGGCATCCAGTCGTGATTAGACCGGCCTCTCAAGTGTAGTGCGGTGGATGGTGTCATCCTGGTTCAAGTTCATTTATTAGGTATAGCCCTGTGAGCCATTCGGCTCTTGAATCGGGTGCAACCGCAACAAACAAAAAAAAACACATGAACAAAAAAAACATCTTAAAGTGAATATGTGACTGAGTGCAAACAGAAAATCCAAGAAAAGACAACAAAATATTGCAGAAAAAAACACCGTACACCAACGCTGTGTGCAAAAAATCCCAGTGGGTTGCAAGTCAAACAACCAACAACAACCACAAGACAGCTTAGATTAAAGCCATCAGTCTAACTCTGTACTACAACAAACAAACATGGCTAAACCAATACACTTTTCGAAATCACCAAAATAAAGCCATGAAACCAATGAAACAGTGGTAACCAACGATTACAAAAGACAAATACAAACATTTCCCAAACTTGATTTTGCACTTAATTTGGCTACATTCCTGTTCTGAGAATTATGAAAATATCGGTGTGACCGTCATGCGACAACCAATAATCCGATGGCAGAGTGCGAGGGTAAAGTCAGCCCCTCTCTCCAAATGTGCGATCGATAAATTGGCCACTTGGAGAATTTTTAGCGGAGACGTCCCAAGCCATGCGTGTTCGATAGCACAACTGTAATGACACGTGAAATGAATATGCAATAATACAATTAATAAAGATACAATTATAAATATCTCGAATCACTCCACAGGAATGTGGACTTCCAGAAATGTCTCAGGCTCTACATAGAAACGAGAAACACACTTGCTACGTAAATGCAATGCCGTTACTCGGTTAAACACCAGATGTGATGTGCTGAGCAGATTGCACGTCTAACTAATAACTCGCCAGTGTTGGCGACCGGTGGGTAAACATATTAGTGGGGTATAAAGCCTACTGGGGTGGAGGGTTCAAAGGGTGTGGGGTTGGAGGGGTGGGGAACGGAGGGAGGGGGAGTGTAGGATTAAGTAAGAACTATATTCATATTTTTGGTTCTTTCGGTAAAGTCACGTAGAAGGGAAATAATACAATAATAAAAATAAAACAATATTAGAAGGGAAATAATAAAAATAAAACAATATTATTATTTCCCTTCTACGTGACTTTACAGAAAGAACCAAGAATATGAATCACTGCAGTCACGAAAGCTGTAAATCGAAAGAGAACTTTATTCTTTGGGTCTTTCGGTAAAGTCACGTATATAGGTTGAAAGAAAATAACTAAAAATAACCAAAAACTACGACGTTTCGATCACAACACAAGCGGTCGTCATCAGGAGGATGTTGTGATCGAAACGTCGTAGTTTTTTTTGTTATTTTATTTCAACCTATCTACGTGACTTTACCGAAAGACCCCAAGAATATGAATTCCTGCAGTCACGAAAGCTTTAAGTCAAGATTTAGGTAAGAACTGTTAAGGGTTTTTTTCACAAGTGCGGCCTTGCCCCACTGCCATGTCATGACGAGCCTCCACTTGCTACTGGCATGCAACAACAACAACAGCCATACTCTTTGGTTCTTTCGGTAAAGTCACGTTGATAGAAAGAACCAAAAAGTATGGATTAACGCTGTCACAAAAGCTTCAAATCAACAACAGCCATGCATACGCAATGAATATTCAGTTCGGAGTAAAGTTGAGATACGTTCTAGATTTGAAGCTTTCGTGACTGCAAGGATTCATATTCTTAGGTTTTTTCGGTAAAGTCACGTAGGTAAAAAATTTAAATTAATAAAAGTAAAATATAAATAAAAAATCACGACGTTTCGGAGGCAACACAAGCTTCCGTCTTCAGGTGGAACCGTCACAGCCCGACAGCTGTATCAAGTAAATGTGAGATTACAATAGATACCACTCCGTATGTATAATGGTTGAGGGGGGGGGGCAGGAACGGCTCACTTTTCATTATTATGGTAAGGTGTGGCTTGAGACTATGAATAGACTACATAACAAATGACTGAGCCTTTATTATGGAGAGGTGCAGTTTGTGACTACGTCTAGCCTACATAACAAAATGCTGCAAATGAGACCGAACCTCTGCCATGTAGATGGTAAAAGCACAAAAGCAGGTCAGGAAAAAACAGCCTCCTGCTATGTTGTTTGGTGGGTAAAACTTATAGCAGGAAACCAGTGTGTGAAAAAAGAAGCTGAACCTGGTAAAACAAAACTGGCTGTCTATCAGTAACCTGTAATAGTTGTCTGTCAAATAAGATGGTCCAAATAA